ATATATATAGGTATATGTACTGAAAAATATACAATTCATATATATTTTGTTGCTCTATTTATAGGGTCACTACATGTTTTCTGCCTTTTTTGGCCATTTGGGCATAAATTCCGAGATTACATCAGTAAATATAATTTTTTTTTTTTTTTCATGAATGTACTTCTAGTACAAGATCTGTATATGGAAAATATATATAATATACAAGTAGAACTGCAGATTTTTCTACATATAAATATATGTAGTACATACTTCGCATCATTGTTACGAAATATTAAGCTATTCAACTTTTTACTGATGGTATACACCTTAAATAATTAAAATTTGTTATTTACTTACACGGCGAGTCTAGCATTTCCCAAACAATCGTCACCACCGCAGTAAAGCGTAAAATCATCGTTTATCGTGCGAAATCCATTGAGAAATTTAAATGTTTGCTTTATCCTGTAGTCCTTTGTCTGATGAGCGTCATAACAAATGGATTTTATATAATTTCATCGTATCAAATGTATATGCCCGTGAGAGTTGAACGTAGAATACCAATTACTTAATTATATATTGCGTTATAAAATTATAAAAATAAATGTTTTTTGCAGCTAGTGTTAAAAATACAATTTATTTGTACTAATCTAAAACATAGCAATCAACACGAATATTTACGTATACTTTCGCTAAAATTTAATTTTAACCTATCATCCGAACAATCCTAATTTCTCCCCAAAGTACACAAAAACGCAATGAAAAAACAAAAAAAAAAAAAAAAGAAAAAAAAAGTAGTTACCGGAAAAATTTCCTTGTACCACGCCCTCGCATTTTCCTGCTCGAAACAATTCGTACCGGTATCACTATACGGCGGTGACCTCGGAACCCTCCTCCGTACGGTCAAGGTTACTATTCGCGCTCGACAATGCCGCGAGTATATATTCTAAATTCAACTCCATTGCAAAAACACATGTACGTACCGTACTGTCGGAGAAATTGTAGCCAGGCAGAAGCGACAGACCCTCCATGATAAGACCCGCCGCAAATTCATCAAAAAGTGTATGTTTTTTTTTGGGGGGGGGGAGGGGGGAACAATGGCGATGTTTGGTGGTTACAATAAATCACAAAACCATCGTGTATCGTTCATGGCTGTCGTCTTCCTTTTTTTTTTTTCTTTATTTCATTTGACTGAAAGCACTTATTTATTGAAAAAATAATATATATACATGTATGTATATCCACCTCACCGCGTTCAAAAATTCGATCAATTTTCACGCTCTCGCATTTGTATTAACCGACGAGAGTTTTCGTACTCTGTACATGTACAAATACTATAATCGTCCTCGTCATGATCCCACTTTATACTTTTGTCTTATTGTATTTTTGGTTCGCCGTCGCCTCACTGACGCCTTTCCCTATAGGCTCGTTACAGTAGTAATAATCACACAAAGTTACTCAAACCGTCTTACATCGCTATAACAACCAGCCTCTCTGTTTACACGTTTTATCGATTCATGTTCGGCTCCTCCGAATTTTTTACAAAACAAGCCACACATACTTGTACATGTTTTAAAATGACACAGATGCTTTATTTTTAACAACACGGAGGAGCGCTGCCTTCACATTTATGTAGCATTTTATTTATCGCTTTACACTATTATTATCAATCAGCTGACGAGAGGGCATCAGAATTTTTTTGTTTGTTTTTTCTTATACTATTAGTATTTAATTCGCGTATAATTTTGTTTCATAAGGATAGATGCATCGGTTTTATATTGACATTTCTCGTCTTTTTTTTTTTTTTTAAATTCCACATACTTACATGTTATATTCTTAAATACGTAGTAAGTAATGGGTAATGGAAAAATTAAAAAAAGAACGTAGTGAGGGAAAGCACAACTTTTTACATTGATTGTACGCGTAAACTATGTAAGCTCTGTTATTCAGAAGACTTAAGTATCGTGCAACAAACCGGGATAACCTGATAATAATTTTTTTTTTTTTTTTTTAATACCCGTAATAACCACTTTAATGCATTCATGAATACTAATGAAATTATACTATTCATGTAACTACATATTACAATTAATCATGTACGACACATGGCTTTTTTACCCCATTATAGTAATGCTCTAAAGTTTTATAATTTTCCACCAATTTTAATAAACCATGACGATTAATATTTATTTTACTCACGATGAATTAAAACTATTGCCAAAAATTCTCAATCTATCTAAATATTTTTACTATACTTCTGATTCCATAAAGTACACCGGTTTCCCCAAACTTTGTCCTCTATTCAATTGTATTAATTACACAACCTTTGCAAGGATAACGCATATTTCAAGTAGCCCATAAATTTGCGGTAAAAAATTAAATAATCACTAATATATGAATAGTAAGTTATCGGGGCGTAGTACTCGCGCACGTCCTCGTCCGTTCTCTCCAGGTAGGCGGCCGGGTAGGTAGAGGGAAGGTCCTTCCAGTTCTTCGGTACTTTGGTCCTCTTGAGCAGCAGGCCGCCCCGGACCTTGACGCCCGGCGTCTTGGTCTCGCTCACGGAGATGGTNTTTTTTTTTTATTTACATAAATCATAGAAAAGTAGCGAAAGTAAATTTACAATTGAAAATTGCGTAATTTGTTGTAAAAAATTGTTATCGTTACACACAATGCAGGAAAGAAGTCCCTATGTTTCGGTGATTGTACTTCGATTCTAATCTTCACTGTAAAAGGTGCTCTTTCTTAACAATTAAACTAATACTTGTAAAAAAATCAATACTTTTTGGATTTCCTTCAAAGGTGATTAAAACATTATTTAATTTGAGTCATAGTGTATTAAAAAAAGGGGGGGGGAAAGAAATTCACGTAATACATATGCATATTTGGCGTGTATGCAATAATTTAACAATAAATAGTCCACACAGCATTACTCATTAATACAATGTGACGGTCAATAAACAGATGCACCTAGCCGGCTTTTTTCGCTCGAACACATACAAATACTGTAGTTCATCACTTTCATTTTATTATTTTCCTATACTTATTTATAGTCGTCAACTTTCAATGACTTCATATCAACACTCATCACTTTGCAGATAAATATATAATATATATGTTACATATTGACAATAGTAGTTAGTGTGTGTGTATTACGTACGTGTTTAATATAATCACAGATGGTATGTACAATTTTGACGTCAGAAGGGTACAGTAATTCTATTGGCTGTAAACGCTGAGAAAATGCATTTTGTGTCTGATGTATTTTTTTTATTTTGCATAATTGAAAAAAAAAGAAGGAATTATGATCTTGATGTTTCCCCTTTGCATGTGAATTTTCATTGTGTTGCAACTGCATAAGTTTATCTCGCAAGGGATTTAATTAAATTACGAAACTCTTACCTTAAATAATACTTCCAACATTCATTTAGAATCTTGAACTGTTTCGATCTCAACGACCATCTCGTAAAAATCGCAAACTATGTTTGAAAATACATTTTTTGCGAAATCGCAGCTTGCAGTATGTATATGTTTGCGATTGCAACTAAATGAATCACAGCGATCGAGAGAGGCATTTAAACCTAAATCTGTATATGGAAAATATATATAATATACAAGTAAAAAATAGAATCAATCACCTCTTCTCTCTTAAAAACCTTTTCGCACAACTGACACGATTTCCATAAACAACACTCGGACAAAAAGCCACTCGAAAAAATCCTTCGCAGTAAAAAGGGACTCCCAAAGGATGGTGGGAGCCGATTATTCACATACACCTTACCATAAAACTGTATACTATTAATATCATCTTTCCTATTGTTACAATAATTATCAATAACCCATTATTACTACGACATATGTTGTATAGCCCGTATGATGATCGCGAGGAAAACTCGTAATTAGCGTACATCGCATATGCCTATATATTATACATATTAATCATACTCTATCGTATAAGTAATAATAATAATAATAGTAACAACAACGAGGCTCTCAGACGTCAAATAGTTGGAGGAAGATGAGCATGCAGCCGGCGGAGAGTAAGCCGGCCACGGGCACGGTTATCAGCCAAGCGCCGGCAATGTTGCGGAACAGGGACCAACTGACGCCTTGGCAGCCCTGCGAGGCCCACCCGACGCAAACGATGGAGCCCACCTTGCAGTGGGTCGTAGAGACCGGCAGACCGGCTTTGCTCGCCAATAAAACCGTCATCGCTGCACCTACCTGTGGACACCGACCGGGGAGTTTTTCCCCTTATTATATTGTACGGCACCACTAGAAAGCCTCAAAAAAAAAATAAATAAATAAAAACCTTTTTTACCTCTATCGTGAAACCGGTGGTGGGTGTGATCTTTGCTAGATCCGAGCCAAGGGTCTCGATGACCCTGCGCCCCCAGATCCACAGTCCCGCGGAGATGCCGAGGCCACCGTAGAGCAAAATCGTGAGGGGCGTCTCGGCCTCCTGTTTGGCCGAGCCCTCGGCGTATATGGCCCACAAGGCGATGAGGGGCCCGATGGCGTTGCTCACGTCGTTACCGCCGTGAGCGAAGCTGCCAAACGCCGCGGTCAGTACCTGGAGGAAGGCAAACAGCTTCGAGACGTCCGGGTGCTCCGAGTCCATGACCGCTGCCTCGTCGAGGTCGCGCAAACCACCCGACTCGGCGTCACCGCCCGCCGCCGACAGCAACAGAGGACTCGCGCTGTTGTTCACCCGTAGCTGGCCCTTTGGCTCCTCGAGGTTCATTCTGGGGCCGATTTAAATTTTTTTTTTTTTTAACTTTCCTATTTCGCGTGTACATCCGAGCTTTTTGAGCTTTTCCAGGGTACGTTGGTACGGCATATCGCGAGCTTACGTAAATTCGCGTACAATGCATCATGGGTATATATGTATATAACGTACGTTTGCGACAATGAAACAGTTATATGCGTATAGAATACCTGGACGTGTCGGTGGTGGGAGCGCCGCGCTGCGAAATGACCGAGAGCGCGGTTGTCTCTTTGTTGTCGGTCGCGGCGTCGAGGTCGGGCAGCCGGCTATTGTTGCTGCTGCTGTGCGACATGATGATTTTCCTGCGCTGCCAGGGCACGACGAACACGTAGACGACAGCCGCGGAGACCAAGCCCGCGCCCAGGGAGAACAAGGCGCTCATGTGCCAGGGTATGTTGTCCAGGTTCAGAACTGCCGATGACACGTGAAATATTTCTTTATTGAGGCCGAATGTACACGGAACCAGATCGGTATGGTTATCAAAAAATTTGCGCGTGTGAAACGGGATCGATGGTATAATTTTTCAGGCAGTGGTAAATAGAGGCGAGTGGATGTCGGGGGGGCTTACGTTTGGGCCCATCGTGGGCGATAGAGAGTATGTTGACGGCAACGGTGAGGCTGTAAGCCAAAGGCAGCGTTTTAAGGCCCTGATCGAGCGGCTTCGTCGAGCGCAGTATCATCTTGCGGATCAGCCAGAATATCGACGAGGAGACGATGCCGCTCAGTAAAGGACTGACGAACCACGAGACCGCTATGCTCAACAGGGCCATCCATTTGACCTGTGAACAGTGCAACGATGTCAGATAATACACAGGCGCGTCTGATCCAATCGGTTGCGTAACTCTCATTGATGATACCAGTTCATTTGACAAAGAAAATGAAAAAAAAAAAAAAAAAAAAAAAAAAAAAAAAAAAAAAAAAAAAANGGTGCCTCGACAGACGAGCGAGAAGCCAACGACAGCCCCGACGATCGAGTGAGTTCCGGAGATCGGTAATTTGAACGCGGTAGCCACCAGCAACCAGATAGCCGAGCCAGCCAAGCTCGACAAGCTCCCCAGCATCAGCTCCTTCTCGTGGCCCTCGTACAGCGACACGTCCAGGATTCCCTTGCGCATCGTGTCGGACACCTATACGTTTATTTCGTTAGTTGTTTGTGCATTATATGCACGCGCACACCACTAATAATAAAACATACACGCAGTGTACTAAGGGGCGGGGGAGAGGGTACGATGTTGCATTAAAAATACAGGCGCGCTTGTCATGGTTTATTGAAGAGGGCACGCTTGATTTTAAAAATGTAGACACGAGAGGCACAAAGTCGGTCGAACGACCCTCTTACCTTGTATCCAATGAGAATGGCACCGGCGATCTCGAAGACCGTAGCGAGCACGCAAGCCTGGAATATGGTGAGGACCCCGGCGCCGACGCTCGTCCCAAAGCTGTTGGCAACGTCGTTGGCACCGATGCCGAAGGCCAAGATGAAAGCCACGATGAACCCGACCACCAGCAGCCACACCAAACTACTGTCGTACGGCACGATCGTCGTCATGGCTGCTTCTTCTTCGTCGTTCTTAACGATCTATCGTTCTCGCGATCTTTTGGCGAAAATCGGTATGCCGATTTCTCGCTCTTAATCCTTTACGATGACAATAACGATCGTAATAATGATAATCCTATCCTATGCGAGACTCGTGTTTACCCTTTCCTTCATTAATCGGCTATGTATGTATAATATACATATATGTACACAATTGAACTTGAATTAATCGATATAACTTGTAAAATTCTTCGTTGATCTATCGACGAGTTAAAGATCGGCCTCTGTATATTTGTACACGTGGTTTTCAATCGTCATCATCATCATTATTATTTTTATTATTATTATTATTAGTAACAACAGCAACAACGTACGGATCAAACAAGCCTCGGCGGCTCAGCACCTTGTCTCAACGCACATCGAGAGTGACGATCGCGAGCGACATGTGTTCAGTTTTAATAATTGATCGTTTTGGTACCTAATATAACGTCACAATGAATCGGCAACGCGCTCCGAGCTGGACGCCCGTGGGATTAATACTGCAGTGAGTTGTACTGGAGAAGATGCGCGTCGTTATGTGACATCACATCAGAGGTGTAACGGAACAAAAAAGAGGGGCAGGAAGGGAGGGGTGGGTAATGAGTGACGGAAACACAGAGAGAGAAAGAGGAGCTTCTTATTCTCTCGTGTATTATTGGGAGTAGCCGTGGATCGGCGAGTTGTTGATGCCACCGGCGTTACAGCGGCCCGTAGCCGTAATGGACTCCTGTTTTTCGCACATCAGCGTCTCCGTCGTTGTTGTCGTCCTCATCATCATCTGCTGTCGATGATGCTGATGCACTGCGAGCTGATGACGATAGTCGTGGTCCTCGGGGCTACTCGGACGGCTGCCGATCTCGGCCACAATGTTACCGATGTCGACACTCTGTTTTTGCTGAAGAGCTTCTATTTTTGTAATGGTGTTGGTTGTTATCGGCAACGACGATGATGATGACGATGAGGATGTCAATAATGGGCTTTTTATTTCGTCTCGCCTTGGTGGCGATCTCCGTGGCTTCCGCATCTACAAGTGATCGTTGGTGTCATTATCATTGTTTTTGGGAAAGTTTTTATGTTTCGTCAATCGTGACAAATACGAAATGAAAAAAATATGGGGGAGGGGAGGAAAAAGTAAAAAACCAACAACCAAGTATATTACATAATTATGGCACCGAGACGATACGCATTACGCGGGACGACGATGAGGGCCGATCGCGACGATGAGCATAGCTGCGTCGTTTTAACGAAGCCTAAGTGGATGAGGTGTAATTAAGCGCGGGTGTGCGTTATTCTATAAGATGACGCTCAAGTTCACGGGTCTACCTTACAATATACGTATAAGTATAGTTTTCCCGGCATCCTCATTTTCACTTGTGACTTGTTACACAAGCAAGTTTACCGATTTTTTTTTTTTTTTTTTTTTAATTGTTATTTCCTACCACGTGCCAGTGCAAGCTCAAGTTGACGGACGCCTAATGACGGCGGTACAGGCGCGTGGGTGGTTGTTTTTGTTTTTTGTGCGATTGAACATTTTTTGTCTCAGTTTCGGTGACGGAATCGAGCAGTGCGCGACAACAATTGCTATCATAATGACGATTCGCGTGGCTAATCGATGAAAAATCGAATGATTGATGACGGTAAAAACGCGTCGTTGGTGGTTAATGGTTAATGCACAAGTACATACATACAAGGAGCTGATGGTGATAAATACGCGACCTTCCGTTTGTTACAACGTCAGGATGGCAAGGTATATGCACAAGTAATCAAACGCACTTACTGATAATTAAATTTGCAAAATATACACGCATACGCGCAAGTACGTCTATATCCAGTTGTGCACAGGCGTGCGTTTATCCTCTTTAAATGCAGACGTACATAAATATATATACAACAATGACTAATTTTTGGCAATTACCGATTCAAATTATTTGTCTGTTCGTTCATATGTGCATGTGCTTTTATTTTTATTATCATCCGGTCAATCGATCGATCGCGCATTACCGATCATGAGCAGAATTTTACTGTTTTTCCTCTTAAAGATGATTACTCGCTAGATTTACGTATATATACATACAGATCCGAAAAACTTTATTTTCAAACAAGCGATGCTCATACAGAGTGCAATCAACGCCGACGAAGAAAGAACGAGCCTGTATGTATATAGGATCTAATCCTTTTTCGCTTTGTAGGTCTCGGCGTACTTTCTCATCGTGTCCTTAATCTCGGGCCGTATTACTTGCACCGTTGTATGTTTTTTCTCGGAGCCTCTATCGATTCACACGGGAACTCGATTTCAAATCATCTCTCTCGGCTTGAACAATCAATCAAGCTTCCTTTTCGAAGAAAATAAAATCAAAAATTAAATTCGACAAGTTTGGCCTTTCATTTTGTAAAATCGTGCACGTTGAATGCGAATTTAATTATAATGGGCGAGGTTACCAATATATCCTTGCGGATTCGACTACTGTAATTTTGGTAAATTTATTCGACACTGTCCAAGAGCGGTAAATCAAGGCTTGAAAAAAATTTTTCTTTTATTTTTGATATCCTTAAACTTGCGCGTTTAACACCACCCGTTGAAAAAGTAAAATTGTCCCGAAACACGTTGGGTATACTTTTTTTAATTAAAAAATTTGTATACGTATATGAAAGAACTTTGGGCTCGTCATCGAAAAACATGTGCCTACATAAAAAATGAAACGCTATATATACTCGATAAAAGTTTCATGCTCCTACGAGCGAATATTCCACAAAAAAAAAAAAAAAAAG